TAGATTTGAATTGAAGTTTCTGTTTATTTTTGTCAATATAATGGAAGTCAATGGGAACTAAACTGTTTGGTTACCAACACTACACACAATATTTTGCGCTCTGCAAAAAAAAAAATTGGTGAAGAAAAAGTCATACAGGTTTTGAATGACATGAGGGTGAGTAAATGATGACAGAATGTTAATTTTTGAATGGACTATCCCTTTAATATTTTGTAGAGATGCATCACATGACAAGATGATTTTTTTACAAAAAAAAATAATAATTTACCAGTTATTTATACTTCCACCAGTCCAAACTCATCCTAAACAGTATACATCCCTCTGAACTCTCATAAGCCTCTCCAGAGTGTCTAGACACCTTTAAGACAGCCTCTCTGAGGAATAAGACAAGCCCACAAGTTCCTACAAAAACTGGTTACTCCATTAACCCCATCACAAAGGAGAGGTTTTTAGTTTCATATATATATATTCATATATACAGCAACTGAGATCTCCAAAGGGATTCGCCAATGTGTCAGTTTTTAGAAAACCCCAAATATAGCCTCCAGTAGGCATATCTTTACAGTCGACTACTGCATACAGTATTACATATTTCATCAGCACTAGACCATTTTACATCTATATAAGGATTATAACATTTTAAGAGCGCATTTTTACACATTTCTGAGTTCCTGCGTGCATTTTGTATCATATACAGCTGTTTTACATTTCACATGTTCAACGGATGAGCTATTAAACGGGTTTCTTGGCCTCGAAGGCAAGAGGCGCAGCCAAAAATAGACGCAGGGCAAAAGGCGCAGCTTCATCAGTCTCCTCACATCCGCAGTGTCCCGCACTATGACAGCATGCAACTTTATCTCGGAGCATAACTGCGCCATAACGCTAAACAGAGCGACTCACCCCAGTGCTGTATTGTCTGCTGCTTCCCAAACCCTAAAGGCGTGTAACCTTCAGCGCTGTCATACATAGATGGGGCGGCGCGCGCGTTCGTCCTGTCCCAAATCGAGATTCATTCAAACACACATGTGATGCCACTTACCTCTGAGGCTCAAGAAAAACGATTTGATTCTGCTTTTCTTTTTTTAAAGGCGAAAGTGCAGCCTTCGGTTATTCCATCCGCGTTGCGGCTGAAGGGAAGCGGCTAGTTAATGGTGAGGTGTGTGGCACGCGGCTCACGCGCAGTACCGCAGTGAGGAGGCAGACTCAAAGTGATGCGGCGCTATGGCGACTTCCAGCACTCACTATAACGCTCATTAGCAACCAAGCGCGGGGTATATGGAAACGTTTGTCGGGACACTTCTCTATCATATATAGGCTATATATATATTTTGGTTACACTTTACTTGAAGGGGTGTGCATAAGACTGACATGACACCTTCATAAACATGACATGACACATGTCATGAATATGAAGGTTTTTATGCATGTTTATGACAACTGTTATTAAGTGTCATTCGCTCAGTTTAATGCAAAGATGACATTGTTTGAGATGTCTTTGTTATGGGCTATGGTTAGGGGTAAGGGTAGGGGTGGGGTTAGGTCAAATAATGTCATATTTGCATTAAAAATGACATAACTGAGCGAATGACACTTAATAACAGTTGTCATAAACATGCATAAAACCTTCATATTCATGACATGTGTCATGTCATGATTATGTAGGTGTCATTTCAGTCTTATGCACACCCCTTTAAGTAAAGTGTTACCTACACTGTAAAAAATGACCGTGAATTTAACGGTAAAAGACTGTAAAAGTAAAAATGCTACAGTAAAAACCTGTTAAATGGTTAACGGTAAATTCCCCTACTATATACGGTGAAAAACTGTATTGGACATTACATGTATTGGACATTAATTTTACGGTAGTATACCGTTTTTGGAAGTGAAAAATACCGTATAATTTACAGTGAATAACCGTAAATTGACATTCCCACAATTCCCTGCTTTACATTTCAAATTTGATGTTTTTTTGTTGCAATAACTATGTTTGTTCTTAGTTTTTTCTTATCAGTTTTGTATATTAGTGTTGTGTGTTACACCTAATGTAAAACTGTAAAACCTAAAACGTTGCTACCGTATTTTTTACGGTACAATTTCGGCAACCACAGCTGCCGTTTTTTTACTGTCAATTTTACGGAATTTTTTTTACAGTGTATATATATTTTTTATTATTATTTTCTTCCATTTTTAATACCAGCAGTATAACAGCAGTTACAGTTCAATAAACAATATCTAGTAGCTTACGTTTCAGACAAAAATAACTTATTTTATAGTCTATACACTTTTAAACCGTGATGCTGTTTGGTGTTTGTGTGAATGACACTGTGCACCTTCTATATATGTTATTATTTAAAAGCTGCTTGTGATGGGCTTTGGTTCATTGTGTGACTTTCTCATCGCCTCCTGCATTTGGTGGTTATCAGTGTATTACAAAGGTACAAAACAGATTTCAGTACTTCAATAGGTTGGTATATTAACATTATATCAGTTAATGAAATTACGGTATTTAACTGTAAATTTAAGTTAAAACTGTAAAACCTAAAACGTTGCTACCGTATTTTTTACGGTAAAATTTCGGCAACCACAGCTGCCGTTTTTTTACAGTAAATTTTACAGAATTTTTTTTACAGTGTATATATATTTTTTATTATTATTTTATTCCATTTTTAATACCAGCAGTATAACAGCAGTTACAGTTCAATAAACAATTCTAGTAGCTTACGTTTCAGACAAAAATAACTTATTTTATAGTCTATACACTTTTAATGCGAGCCCAACCTTCCGACTAAAAACTATAGCCTACTATTCTGAGTACCAATCAATTAATTTACACTGCCGGTCGAAAGTTTGGAATTTTTAAGTTTAGATTTTATTTTTATTTAAAGTTTTTGAAGTATTTTATATGATCACCAAGGCAGCAGTAATCTGATTAAAATACAGCAAAACATTAATAATGTGAAATATTATTAGAATTTAAAATAGCTGATTTCTATTTGAATATATTGTCAAATGTAATTTATTCCGGTGATGTAAAGCTGAATTTTCAGCATCATTACTCCAGTCTTCAGTGTCACATGATCCTTCAGAAATCAGTATAATATACTGATTTGCTGATCAAGAGGCATTTATTATTATTATCAATGTTGAAAACAGTTGAGCGGCTTCATATTTTTGTGGAAAGGTTTAGGATACTTTGATGAATCGAGAGTTCACTGAACAGCATTTTATTGAAATAGAAATCTTTTGCAACATTATACATTTCTTTACTGTGACTGTTGATCAAGTCTGCTGATTACAAGATCAAATTTGTTCTTTTTTAATGTTACACTACTATTCATAAGTTTGGAGTGAGGTTAAAAAAAAAAAGTAAAAAAAAATGTATACTCGTGTTCAGGAAGGACACATTTATAATGTTGCAAAAGATCTCTATTCAAGTAAAATGCTGTTCAGTGAACTTTCACATTCATCAATCATGTCAAAAATACATCACAAAAATATGAAGCAGCAAAAACTGTTCAACATTGATAATTATTAATAACATTATTGCAGAAACATTATTAACAATTAAACATCAATCAAATTTAAGCAGTTAATAAGCATATTAGAATGATTTCTGACGGTTCATTGATGCTGAAAATTCGTCGTTTGCTGCTACCTAGTGGGGAAAAAAAGTGGATTAAAAAAAAAATAATAATAATTTTCAAGACTTTAAATCAGCATCTTTTATTTTCAAAACAGCCTGCTCCATAGGTTATAAAAAAATAAACAGAATCTTTCAAAATCAGTGGCGTGCAGGAGAATGCATCTAGTCCTGTGACAGGCTTCACATACTGGGCTTCGACTGGACTCAGTTATCCAACTACAGACGCATAGATAAATGGAACTGTTCTTTGAACCACTAGACCAGTGGTTCCCAAACCTGTCCTGGAGGCTCCCCTGCCCTGCACCTTTTGTATGTCTCCTTAATCAGACACACCCAGTTTAGTTCTTGCAGTCTCTACTAACGAGCTGATGAGGGGAATCAGGTGTGTTAGATAAGGGAGACATACAAAAGGTGCAGGGCAGGGGAGCCTCCAGGACAGGTTTGGGAACCACTGCACTAGACAGAACAAGTTCTCCGTCATTTCATTATAAAACCCACATTTGGCAATATCACAATTTACAAGTGATTTCCCCAGAATGAAGACTTCAAATCCGTACCGTTCAGTGACAAACCACAGGCTGGGAAAGAATAAAAAAAATAGATGCAGGTCACTCCCAATATAGTGGATGTAGCTACAATCAGGCCCAATATACTGCTGTGCAAACGCAAAACACAACTGCCTATTTTTTTTCCCCCCCATCATATTTAAGAACAAAATTTCTTTGACTATGATTTTTCCTGTAACAGATTGGCTCAATTATCTCCCAGTGCTTCAAATATAAAAACTGAACAAAATTCAACCCAAAAATCCTTCGAAACCATTTTCTCAGTTCCAGTGTTGAAGTTCCTGTGTTTTGTGGTTAGGGCAGAGTGAAGTGGTCAACACTGAACGAGGTAACCAGGCTACATAGTTCTATACCAGGTCCAAAATACCGAAATAACACATTTGAGTATTATTTTTATATTGAGATATTGTTACGCTGAAATATAGAGAAACATCTACCCATACCTGCACATTAATGATCAGCAAAACTTTATGCATTACAAAATACTTATTTAAATTAAACCACTTGAAAAGCATCTTTGAAAGCTTAATTTTTGCATTGGTGCAACATTCAAGAGATAATTCACCCAAAAATTGAAATTCTGATATTTACTTACCCTCATGTCATTCTAAACCTGTACGAGTTTCTCCAGTGCACAAAAGATGATTTTTTGAAAAACATAGTTAACCAAACTGTTTTTATTCCCATTGTCTTACATTAAGTTTTTTTTCCTTCTTTTTTTTACAACATACAACAAAAGTCACTGGGAACCGAAACTGTTTGGTTACCAACAATCTGAGGGCAAATAAATTACAAAATTGCAATTTTTGGGTGAACTGAAAGGGGGAAAAAAATCAAGTTAAACAGACATACCTCGTATTTAACATTCAAAAATTGGAAATAGATAAGAACAAGGAACAAAGGCAAAGACTAAAAAAAGATGTGCGATATAGCAACTCTGAACAATGCAGACAGAGTACAGGAAACTGAACATTTGATCAGAATGGAAAATATGAAAATTCAAGCAAGTCTTTGAAGTTGAAATTAGCAGATGATCAGCTGCCTCTCTTAGGAAACTTTATTACATTTTACTTTTAAGGTTCATCAAAATATGTAATATAAAATTATTTAAAAAGTGTATTTTAAACTGAGCTGACTGAACAGCTTCTGATGTCAATTAAAAAGGTTGAAGAGATCAATGAAAATCTTAAACTGACCATCTACGTTTATATGTGATTTTAGAGAGGCATAAAATCTGATACACTTTAGACTGAAACAAACAGTCGTCACATAAATTACAGCATAAATATGAACAAACTGAAAAATGTACACTACTGTAGTACCTAGAGTTGAAGATCTTTGAGTCTTACAGCTCAAAAAAAAAGGTCCGGTGTGCCGTTTTTACCAGTTTTTTTCCTCTCGGAAAGCAAAGTGGTTCAGCGACAGGGCTCGATACAGCAGAAGCCCCGTTTGGCTCAGAAAAGAGGTTTATCGTGAACCCAGAAAACTAGAGGAGTGCATCAGATGGGTGTGTTGGGCAGGTGACCGTTTGAGTTGTTCAGCATGCTGTTGCTCAGTGTGATGGGAGATTTGCCGTTATGTGCCTGACCATTGTGGGACTGTCTGTTAGGAGCTTGTCCGTTCCGCTTTTCCAAACGAGGCGAGTTTCCTCTGAGAGACTCTCTCTCCTGGGGCGTCGCACTTCCGCCCTTCTCGGCGTCCCTGCGAGAGGAAGGAGTTTGCGGGACCGTCCTGCTACGACAAAGATGCCTGAATCTGTTAAGAGCGATGGTTAGCAAGGCGCTGACGCACAGAGCTAACAGAACGGACACCACTACAAGCTCCTGAAAGTAGCTGGGCTTTTCCGCTTGCTGGAGGTTTTCACCAGGCTCGGTCATTCGGGAGTCTTCCTTTTCTGTGCCAAGCTTGGGAGTAAAGTTCCTGCTTTTGCGAGTGGTGGCCGCCGGCGAGTCTTTGAGTGTGACTGTAGGATGCACTTCGTCTGGTTTAGGCCTCGGCTCTGTTTGTTCAGGTGTTATGAGTCTGGTAGTGGAGACGGGGGTTTTAATTCCCGCCTCGGTGGACGGGGTGCTGTGTGGGCGGTTCGGGGTGGCTGGGAGGATGGTGGGGCTGCTCTTCTGTTTGACGTGGTAGACGACCAGTGTTTGGCTGTAGCCGTTCTCCACAGCCTGGCACAGGTAGTGTCCCAGGGTGGACGGGGTCGCCACAAAGCTGAGGCCGCCGTCGTCTGACTGAATGTAGATTTTGGGCGACAGCTGGGTGTTGAGACGCTCCCAGTGGCGTTTGGCGAGGTGTGACGCTCCCGGACACTGCAGGTCCACTACTTCGTTTAGAGACACAGACACCACTTCACCTGGAGGACACACAGCTGAGGAGGTCAGGGGTCAGCATACACACCACACCACGACAGCAACACAGTTAAACCAGTACTATGTTCAGCACATCAATAAGTACTAAACAAGGCTTGAAATGCTGGTTGAATTTTCCAAACTAAAAGTCAGCATAGGAGGTGCTTATCGTTCTGAAAATATTTCATGTTCACCTAATTTTTGCAACTGTTACATCCCTGTTATCTTTACCTATGACATGACTAAACAGTTTAAATGTGCGATTATTTTCTAGAAATACGCTAAACACAATACAACACACGAAAATTACAATTAAATGAAAACATAAAAAATTAAGTAGAAAAAGAAGTATTAACATTTATAAGCACAATAGAATGGGCAACAAGTGTTGGGGGAAATGCATGCGAGTTATGTAGTCTGACTAGTAAAGTAACACATTACTTTTACAACAAAATATCGGAGCGAGTTTTTTCAAATGAGTAACGCCAGTTACTCTGTTTTCCATTTATTCACCGACAGCTCTCCTGTCCCCATGTTTAGAGAGATCGGGAGTAAGTGCAGAGGTGCTTCCTTCAGACTGAGGCTTATTAATTTCACTTTTGGTGTGAAAGGGCCTTTACAGTTGCCAAAAATATAACCTTTGGGTTCTTTGTAGGGATGCACGATATTGGATTTTTGCCGATATCCGATATACCGATATTTTCCAACTCATTTTGGCCAATACTCATACCGATACCGATATATTTCCTTTTGTTTGGAAATAACACCAAGTCTCTCCTGTGCAGAAATTATAAGCAAAATATTTTTAATTTTGGTTAGTTTTTAACAAGAACTTATTTGTTAGAATTAAATAAACAATAATGAAGGGTTTTTTGACAGTACATTGAAGCTTTGAAAATAACTATGAATAAACTACCCATCATTCGCTGCATTTTTCCCCCCAGAAAGATGCAGTGTTAACCCTAACATTTTATTTTAAGATTTAACATTTGTAGATGTCTAAAGCAAAATAGTAAAAATTCTGAAAATCTTTTAGAGCTTATGATTTGTTTAAAAAATAAAACATATGACACATTAATGAATACATCAGTACATATAAAATTATTTCATTTACAAGTGCCATGTTTGTGATTTTTTTCATGTAAGCTATAGCTTCTGACCTTTAAATCAAAATATACTCATTATTTTATGACATCAATTACTGCTTTATTTAATCAGAAACATGTCTAAATGTTATTTGTGTAGGCTATTTTACTTTTAATTTAATTAAAAGTAGGCCAACAGCGCCCCCTACAGATTAAAACTCCTTAGAGAACGGGGCGTTAGGACCTGGGGGAGGCGGTCACTGCTGCACCTGCTATTACTGTTGACACTATCATACACCAAAAGCATCATTCTGTACCTGCTTTCACAGATTAAATGCAGCGATCCAAAGCAGTGAATCTAATCATCATTCAGACAAAACTTTGCTTTAAAAATGAGTCACAATACTGACGTGATCTAATCGCTAGCACACCCCGAGCACATGTGAGTTAACGTATTCTTCTTATCGGCAAGACATATCGGCATCATTTTTCATATCGGGCCGATGCCGATATTTACATTTAAAGCCATTATCGTCCGATTCCGATATCAGTCCGATAATATCGTGCATCCCTAGTTCTTTGTAATTAAAAACAAATGAGCAAACCTAGCCCAGGTGACAAAAAGAAACGCATCACATTACTTTCTATAAAAAGTAACTAACACAATTAGTGACTTTTTTATGGAGTAACGCAATATTGTAATGCATTACTTTTAAAAGTAACTTTCCCCAACACAAATTTATCTTAAATTATGCTATCACTCAGTATGGGCTGGCTAGTTTGGGACAAAATGTTGGTTTGCACTTTCTGATATATTTTATTTACCATAATTTTTTTTTTTTTATCATTTTAACAATAAAAGGGTTAAACACTAAAACCTGCTTGAAAATTAAAATAATGCTGTAGATGCCCCATGTTTAGAGAAATCGGGAGTAAGTGCAGAGGTGCTTCCTTCAGACTGAGGCTTATTCATTTCACTAATAATTTTTTTTAATAATGGAAAAATTATGCAGCAACAGGGTTCTGTATAAAATGTGTGACGTTGCTAAATATTAAGTTTTTGGTTATTACTTTTTTTTTCTAAAATTAAGGAAATATTTAATCAGATTGTGCCAACAGCTGTATGATGTTATTGTTGTTAAATGTTGAATGCAGGATGGGAGGTGGGAAAGGTCAAAAGTTTGTAGAAAGTGCCATAAACAGTACTGAACACACTCAAAGATCTAGTAAGAATGAGACAAACGATAATATGTCAGGGACTTCTATTGAGCTAGCCGAGTATAAGATTTGCAAATGCAATTAATTAATTATCATATATTATTATTTTAATTATACATGATTAAAAACTACTATTACACAGAAATTATACATGAGACTTGTGGATTAGAAATCATTTATACATTGATGCCTAAACATTATATACATGAACTGTACTCACTTGAAGGGGTTCGGGACTGGCCGGAGCGTGACCTGGGGGTCACATACGTACACTGCGCTGACACATTCCCCTCATCTACATCCTGGACACTGTGAAGAGTAGTGAAAAAAGACATTAAAAACAGTTTGGAATGCACACAGTTTTCTGATGTAACCTAATGAGTGTGAATACTGAAATACAAGCAATACAATTCATACAAATGAAACCAAGCCCATATTTGACATTTAGTATTATTTAGGTATGAATACGTTTGGCTGTGATGATACTTACAGATGGTCGTGACTGTGTATGTCTGTGCAGAGCTTCATCACAGGGTCCCAGCCACAGAAGGGGTCTCTGGCTAAAACACACTCAGCACAGCTCAAGTAGTATGAACAGTTGGACATGGGCACGGAAACGACTCCTTCTGAAGAGCCTATCAGCACTGCACCCTGGGACAGAGACACATTTATACTCAACTTTTTCTTGCTCAGCACAATAAACAATAATGGGAGAGGTCTAACACACCATCTGTGTCTCACCAGTCACTTGATATTTAAACCAAAAGTTAACATTAGCACCAAAGGGGTCATAACCAAGGAACCTGATTTAATGTCTCAGAGTAAGATATTGTGAATGCAGTGACTTTGTGATTGTGTCAGAGTGTGAAATGGATTAAATACAGACACACACAGATGCTTGTTCTCGCAAGTGATGGTACCTTTGAGACTGACAGAAGGAGGTTTTTGACCGGCTGAGGCTGATGAAACACTTGGATCTCCTCAATGATGTGAGCTCCGTTCTCCAAGAGCACAGCTTTGTGCAGGAAGCCCGACTCTACAGGGAACACAGTAAAGGTGATATAAGGGGAAAACATCCATGAGGGGATAATTCTAGGAAACCTTACAAAAAACTGTACATACAATAATATTTTGGAAAATGTAATGTTTTCTTTGTCTAATTTGCCAAACAACCAATGCACTTCATTTTAGGAGTATAGCCATTACTCCTATTGCAACTGTCATTAGTTCTCTCTAGCATATTTTACTCTTATCATTAGCTCTTATGGTGTTTAGGAACAATTTTCTTTTTTTAGGTTCGATATGAAATAATATCTTTAGTATAGGGACCAATTGTCACTATTAACTATTTGCTATTATTAACATATTGGCTGTTTATTAGTGCTTATAAAGCACATATTCTGCTTGACCATATTCTACAGTCCTAATCCTACCCAATACCTAAACGTAACTACTGTACTAACTTAAATATATCTATAAATATTTTTTATTATTCAATATTTTTTAGTTTCTTAATTTGAATTTAAAATGTTATCATTTGTTTTTATTACCTTTTTAATATTTCTATTTAGCTTAAAATAACGTAGCAACTTAATTTCTGAGGCAACAATTCTAATTTTTATTGAAGTTTTTCAAAATGTAGTTTTATCAAATATTTATATTTTATTTCAATTGCTGAAAAAAAATTCAGCAAGTAGTAGTTAACAAAATTGTGTCCCTTCAGCTTTCATTTAGCTTTGTCCTGAAATACCAAGCACCATGATACTTCATGATACTATTATTTAATAATACAACTACATTTCCACTATCAGTAGAACTGTTAATTGTGATGCTGACAGTGAGGCGCCAGTATTTACCCGTGAGCAGGTAAAGCAGAGTGTAATCTCTGCCGCGTGCTCCACGGACTCGCTGAACTGCGATGTTGCTGTAGCTCTTATCAGGTGACACCAGTGTCAGGCCCTGAATGACCGGTCGAACACTTTTATCAGTCAGGAAGTTGTCCTTAACAAAGCGCAGAGCGTTGTCCGACGCATTATGGAGGCCACACTGCAGAGATAAACAGCAGAAATTTGAATAGTTAGATTTAAATGCATAAGAAAACAGAACCAGAGAATATCGTGTCAAAAATACAACATGAACAGTAATAATCTTAAAATCTTAAATGACTGTTTAAAAAAAAAAAAATTATATAATTTAAAATGTAATTTACTCCTGTGATGCAAAGACTGATTTTTCAGAATCAGTCTTGAGTTTCACGATCCTTCAGAAATCATTCTAATATGCTGATTTGCTTCTATATTTGAAATACTTTATAAAATGTCTTTAGTGTCACTTTTGATCAATTTAACGCATCCTTGCTGAATAAATGTATTAATTTCTGACTTTTGAGCAGTATATAACACAATAGAATAAGGGTACTCTCAGGACGCTTTCATGACACTAACCCCCTGGTGGCTGGCTGCAGTACAGGTCATAAACCCCTGCCCTTTCCATGTGAACGAATGGGACTTGAGTCAAAATAAAAAAAATTAATTACACTTCCAATACAATTTTCCAAAAGATAGTTTTGGTCATTAAAGGTAGTTGTTCTCACGCTGATATATGGTCAATTGTTCGTTTTTGTGATAAGTTTGATTTTAGCTAATAATTTGATGCTATAAATACGGCGTGTCGTTATGGTTGATTGAATCTGCGGGAGTTTGGGCGGGAGTTTGATACCGTGGCTCCACCAGACTCGGGCTCCAAACTGCTCTCTACTGCGCAGACTCGGGCTCCAAACTAATCTCTACTGCGCAGACTCGGGCTCCAAACTGCTCTCTACTGCGCAGACTCTGGCTCCAAACTAACTAATCTCTACTGCGCAGACTCTGGCTCCAAACTAACTAATCTCTACTGCGCAGACTCTGGCTCCAAACTAACTAATCTCTACTGCGCAGACTCTGGCTCCAAACTAACTAATCTCTACTGCGCAGACTCTGGCTCCAAACTAACTAATCTCTACTGCGCAGACTCTGGCTCCAAACTAACTAATCTCTACTGCGCAGACTCTGGCTCCAAACTAACTAATCTCTACTGCGCAGACTCTGGCTCCAAACTAACTAATCTCTACTGCGCAGACTCTGGCTCCAAACTAACTAATCTCTACTGCGCAGACTCTGGCTCCAAACTAACTAATCTCTACTGCGCAGACTCTGGCTCCAAACTAACTAATCTCTACTGCGCAGACTCTGGCTCCAAACTAACTAATCTCTACTGCGCAGACTCTGGCTCCAAACTAACTAATCTCTACTGCGCAGACTCTGGCTCCAAACTAACTAATCTCTACTGCGCAGACTCTGGCTCCAAACTAACTAATCTCTACTGCGCAGACTCTGGCTCCAAACTAACTAATCTCTACTGCGCAGACTCTGGCTCCAAACTAACTAATCTCTACTGCGCAGACTCTGGCTCCAAACTAACTAATCTCTACTGCGCAGACTCTGGCTCCAAACTAACTAATCTCTACTGCGCAGACTCTGGCTCCAAACTAACTAATCTCTACTGCGCAGACTCTGGCTCCAAACTAACTAATCTCTACTGCGCAGACTCTGGCTCCAAACTAACTAATCTCTACTGCGCAGACTCTGGCTCCAAACTAACTAATCTCTACTGCGCAGACTCTGGCTCCAAACTAACTAATCTCTACTGCGCAGACTCTGGCTCCAAACTAACTAATCTCTACTGCGCAGACTCTGGCTCCAAACTAACTAATCTCTACTGCGCAGACTCTGGCTCCAAACTAACTAATCTCTACTGCGCAGACTCTGGCTCCAAACTAACTAATCTCTACTGCGCAGACTCTGGCTCCAAACTAACTAATCTCTACTGCGCAGACTCTGGCTCCAAACTAACTAATCTCTACTGCGCAGACTCTGGCTCCAAACTAACTAATCTCTACTGCGCAGACTCTGGCTCCAAACTAACTAATCTCTACTGCGCAGACTCTGGCTCCAAACTAACTAATCTCTACTGCGCAGACTCTGGCTCCAAACTAACTAATCTCTACTGCGCAGACTCTGGCTCCAAACTAACTAATCTCTACTGCGCAGACTGCAGACTCGGGCTCCAAACTAATCTCTCCTGCGCAGACTCGGGCTCCAAACTAATCTCTACTGCGCAGACTCGGGCTCCAAATGACGTCATTTACTCAAGATGGCAGCGGCCATACTGAGATGCTTTGGCTTCACTTTTCTATATTGGAAGGAATAGGAGACGCGTCGTCCATCTTTTTTTACAGTCTATGGACTGTACACATACCGGCAGCGCGCAGCTCCTGCCACCACTAAATTACATTATATTGGTCCCATATTGTCATTAATATACATACTGACTTCAACTTGGACCACTAAATAAATAGACTGCTATTGTTATGCAAGTATGAGGGTTAGATTATTTAGTGTACAGGTCATTTCAAGAGTGATAAACAAAGTGATAGAAAATATTTTCATGCATTTTAAGTGTTTAAAAATGTGGAAACCACTCATTGCATCACACCACACCATCTCCTGATTGCATTATTATTTGTAAAATAGGGGCTTTATGGAGTGTGTGTATAGCCTACATGGTTATAAGTATAACGGTTAATATTTCATTAATTTAGGGAAATGAACAAGTGTCTTAGCCCTCAAGGGACTATTTAGCCAACCAGCTTATTCCTGCTTGAAAAGCAAAATGTTATTGAGAGTGTAAAAAACATCAACTTTGAAGCACATGTGATTGATGGACTAGCATTACTTACTACCTTACAGCAACACTACATTCAATGAAGGTAAAATAGCAAAAAAAAAAAAAAAAGTTCATTTAAATGGAACCTGAATCGGAACCGGGAAATTTCTAACGATACCCAACCCTACTCTACATCTAAAACTCTTTAATATTTTAACATTTGATTAATTCGCACTCGAATAAATGATTACTAAACACTTTCATGCATTTTAAGTGTTTAAAATTATAAAATCCACTCATTGCATCACACCACACCATCTCCTGATTGCATTATTATTTGTAAAATAGGGGCTTTATGGAGTGTGTGTATAGCCTACATGGTTATAAGTATAACGGTTAATATTTCATTAATTTAGGGAAATGAACAAGTGTCTTAGCCCTCAAGGGACTATTTAGCCAACCAGCTTATTCCTGCTTGAAAAGCAAAATGTTATTGAGAGTGTAAAAAACATCAACTTTGAAGCACATGTGATTGATGGACTAGCATTACTTACTACCTTACAGCAACACTACATTCAATGAAGGTAAAATAGCAAAAAAAAAAAAAAAAGTTCATTTAAATGGAACCTGAATCGGAACCGGGAAATTTCTAACGATACCCAACCCTACTCTACATCTAAAACTCTTTAATATTTTAACATTTGATTAATTTTTTTAAGTGGAATTTGGTGTGATTACACTGCATGCATTCACTTTTATACATTTTAAGATACCAGTTTGTGTTGATGAACTGTCAGATCAAAAACATGTCAAGTGTAGAGTTCCACAGGGCTCAGTATTTGGTCCTTTACTTTCCTCTTTGTATATGTTTCCTTTGGGCAGAGATTATCAGGAAACATGGCATAGTTTCCAGTAATGTAACACTCGGTTTTATATTTTCAAACCTGAGCCAAGTTAACAGAGTGTATTTGTGATTTCAAAGACTTGATGACTAGTAATTTCCTTCTTTCCAAGTCTGCCAAAAAAGATATTTGTTATTGGACCAAGAACCTCTGAAAATAAGACAATAGAATATAAACAAAGCTCCATTCATTTATAATGCAAGTCTATTGCATAAGTCTGTTGTATAAATATCTAATTCAGTCATAAAATTCTAGATGTCATTTAAAACATCCTTCACATGCAATCTGCTAGCAATAGCACAATTATTCTCGCTTATTCTGTAGCTTATATATAGCATATATAGTCTGCCAAAACCAACTACATTAACACTGTCATATCCATTAACATGCTACAACTGACTGAAATTTGTTTATAGTGATGTGTTTTTACAGGCTCAGCACCAAAACTTAACTTCCACCTATGCTTCTTCTACACAACACTAATGCTGCTCATGTGAGCGATGTGAATACTGTAACCGGTTACAGATGCTGAAGTAAACACACACACTATGTGCGCATGCTGAATGAAACAGGCCATATATGCGAGCTTGTTATGTTTATGGCAGAGGAAGGATTCTTTTTTTTTTTACTTTCTTTTTATCTTTTAGAAAAGAAAAGAAACAACAACACAATCACATCTAAACAACAGAACAGTCATTTGGTCACCTATACATTCTTACATAAACATATTGATGGAAGTATATCTCAGATGATACAGCAGACAATAGCCGTGTCAGAGTCATAAACACAATGGATGTGTTCATGTGTCGGTACTTTTTGAACATCTCCAGCACATTTTAACAATACCGTGATAATACTGATAACCGTGATTATTTTGGTCACTATAATCGTGATAAGAAATGTTCATACCGTTACATCCCTAAATACATGAAAATGATCTGCCAACTGTTCCCCACATTTCCTACAACACAGACTACTTCCATTCTCGCCAATCTGAATAGATTTTTAACTTGGGGGTTGTAAAGTATCTAATAATATTTCGCCAGCAGAATTCTCTCCACATACCCGAGCTGGTAGAAGTAGCCTGTACAGAACAGATATTAAGCCAGTCTTCCCCTGAGATGCTTAGTCCGGTTTCTGTCTCCCATTTTAATCGAACCTTATTTGTTGAATGTTTCTTAATGGACTTAATAGCTAGATATAGTTTTGAGACAAGTTTCCTATTGTCTTTATTTTTATACATATCAATGAACAAATCAATTAAATTGGTATCATGCTTCTCCATGTATCTTATCTCTTTATTAAAATAAGTCCTAACTTGTAAGTACCTGAAAAAAATTTGTTTTTCCAGACCATATGTATCAGAAATCTCCTGAAAGCTATCTAATTCTCCCTTTGACGAAATTGAACTAAAAGAGGTGATGCCAAGCCTATACCAGAGCTGAAACCTCCCATCAGCCCTTGCTGGTTTAAAGTCCGGGTCGAAAACAACCCATTTTAGTAGTTTAGATTGTCTTACAAGTAATGTTGATTTGCATTCTTTAAACCAGATTCTGAGAGGAACTTTAGTCCACTGATTTAAACTTTTAGAATACTGTCCATATAAGATTTTGCTACCAAGTACTGATTGCAGTGCTATAGCAAGCTGAGAGATCTCCAAATCCTTCCACTTTGCTATATATTCTGGATTACAACAGCATGCTAAAAATCTTAGCTGGGCAGCTTTGAAATAGTCTGAAAAACATGTTAGTAATCTACCCCCTTTCTCTTTAGATAGCTGCAGTGTTTTAAATTTAATTCTTGAAGTCCACTTATCCCATTCAGTAAATTGTTTTAATGGAACTTCAACTGGTAAGGATTGGAAAAGGTATAGAAGTCGGGGAAGCATGTTAATTTTTACTGTATCTATCCTGTTATGCATCTCTAAGGGCAGTTGGGACCACCTATCTATATCTGATTTAATGTTCTTACTTGTAGGACCATAATTACTGTCAAATAATTTAGAAATATCCTTTGTTATTATAATCCCCAAGTACTTAATACTTGATGAGTTCCAACTTAATTTAAACCTACTCGGTATGTCATTCTGAGTGGTGTAGTTATAGAGGAAGGATTCTTACCCACGGTTATGGCGGTGCTCTTCTGGTACGGGTCATAAGGACAGCGGCCTCTGCCTTCTTCTGGCTTACCGCTGGGGCCTGTAGCCATGGAAAATGTCTTTGAATTCTGTAGAGGTGAGCACATAAAGCATATGTGCATTAAAACACTGATCACAACTTGAAGCAATTAGACTAGGAGAAAGTTCACACCACATTTTCAGCCCTGCTGATTGTTCAGATTTGATCTGAAGACGCATTGAGAAAATTAATAAAATCCTTCACAAGCTGTGGTGGTTTCATTCAGAAAGCTTTCTATTTTGCATGCACATCCCCCACGAGACACGCACGTGCACACACACACACACACACACAGATCTTCTTCCTCTCACACTCATGAAAGCACAGAATGAGGAAGAGGCACTAAAACAGAATGTTTGCATGATAGGATCACAGAATGCTCAATGGCATGTGAAGGACAGTCACGCAAGTTTCCATCTTTAAAGTGCACTGAAAGCACTGAAGTCGTAAACTAATCAAATCTTACTATAAAAAGTTATGCGAGGGTTTACACTACATGAACTTGGGCCCTTAGACAGTAAAGCAGCCTTCCACTATCTCAAATAGATTGTTACTATTTGCCCCCTAGTGGCAGCCACACAGAACTTTTAAACTGGTTGTGAAGCAGCTGCTACCCTCCACTAATTCACCATTGTAAAATAAATTAATAATGAATGCATCCAAACAATGCACACAAAGCAACTGATCACCAATATGTCTAAAAGAAAAACATAGGTAATTTTCACCCTGCACTCAATTTTTTATTTAGAGCACATCATATCCGCTCTGGTGGTTGTATACAGTCTAGATGCAAGTTTAAATATTTTGACACAATGGAAGCTCTAATTTAAATATCGGCATATAATCGGAACTCCATGCAGCTTCTGTGCTACTGCAAACGGAAATGCACGACTTTCGGTCTATCATTTGTTGCAAACTGAGAAAAGGCAGCTTAATGGGAGTAAACCAAGGGCAAAAATAACTGAAAAGATGGATGCTGTCGGTCTTACGATGTAGATGCAGCGGGGGCTGAAGGCAAACGTTCCACAGGCGTACATATGGGTGGAGTTCAGCACTTGCAAAACCCTCACGAAGTTATGACAATCCATCTGAGGGTGGAAAGGGGGGGTTAGGTTAAACACCAGCTTAAGAAGACCGATATTTTGCTAAGTTTAACATAAGGGTTAAAAAGGTCAGACCGTTTAGCACTGGATGGTTTCCCATACCTTCATTTTGCCTTTCATGGCACAGTCAGCAAGATCTTTTTCTGACGGAGACCAGTCCAGCTGAAATTTGAGTATGAAAAAAATGGGTCAGATTCATCACATGCGTATATTAAAGCTGATATTTATTCATTTAAAATCGTATAAAAATGCTGCAAGAAAACAAACATTAACAACACAATATATACATATACATACGTGCAAACTCATACACATATATTAAATCATTCAGAGCACGCTGATTACTTCAAACAAATAAAAGTTTACAAATAAAACTTAAACACAATGTATTTATTTCAGTGAGAAAAAAGCTAGTATTTATTGACAAAATCATTTTTAGCTTAATCTATTCAAGCAATAATGTATGAAAGATCTTGCTGAATTTTGATTATAGTCATGACTACATGACTCTTTTTAAGTCACAAGTACAAAAGTGCTTTATTGCTTATATAAAATAGTATATAAATTAAAACACTATGTCTCTGACATAACAGAGGGTTGCTATGCAACATAAATGTAGCGCCCCCTTCAGTCCTAGGTGTATCTACACTGGAATTGTTGACGCTAGAACCCAGATTCGTTTAATTGTCTCTCGACGTGATTTTACTTACAAAACTTCACAGTCGATGCAACAACAGTCTGTGGCAATCACTCTGATCACCTCTAGCTCTCTTACAGTCGCTGATTTAAATGATAAACTTGATTTAAGTTTCTCACCAGCGATTCACGTTAGTCCTGTTTACTGTAATGGCTATACAGCATAAACCCTGCATTTCTTCCGAATTGCGTTGCATTGACTTCTTTGTGGCGTCGTGTTGACTTCACAATAGAATAATATGCTAGTTAACACTTAAACGATACAGTTCTGACCATGTTCATCACAAAATAAAGTGATGCATTTTCTGTTATCATACCGACAACATCACCTATGCACTTCTTTTTTCAACTCGTCTCTCCCACCCCCGACTGACATCCTCGGTGGCCAATCACAGTTGCCCTACTTGACATTAGGCGGGATTAAGTCACTTTTCAACCAATAACATTAAATCAAACACAACTTCTTGTCACAGACATGTCTGAACAGGTAAATTTTTTATATAAAACAAAATATAGAAACACTTCGGTCACAAGGGAAAAAAATAAGTAAATAAATGAATGTAAATAAATGCTAATATTAATAATAAATTAACCCAGGGTTACATCAATAATAATTTGCTATGGAAGCTGTTACTATATTGTGAAATATGAGACCGCTTGAATGCTGGATTGACCAAACAGCATCCAGGCACGATCCATTAACAATATACAGTATATGCTTTTGTTTAATTATGTTTGTTTCCATTACTCTGATTTGTTGTGCTGACACAGTGGATTTCTAGGTTATAACCTAGTACTAAATCAAAATTCCACTGACCTTCTCCTTCATGGCCATCGCATCAGTCTGACTGACATCGATTGAAAGAACGGAATCACGAGCTCCGATGAATAAAGTGCCCTCATCGTTGCTAAGCAACAGCGTGGTGGTGTTGTACACATCAGGGTTTGTGAAGATATTGAGGGAACGTCCTGGACTACCTGTGACGCAGCAGAAAAGAAAATCAACTATTAAAGAGCAGAAACATAATTGGAAAAATAATGGCAAATTAGTCTTATTGCATAGTTACCACTAATTAATTACCAATATTTTTATTCCGATTAAAGAGTGCAAGAGTTGTGTTTCCCAATATTTGGGATCATTAAAGTGTGCATTGAATTTATTTAATACACGAGTTTCACAATTTGAGTTGAATTACTGAAATAAATGAACTTTTCACCGACATTCTAATTTATTGAGATGCACCTGTATTTTAACAATGTCGTTACTAACTTTCTGGACCTTGAATGTAGTAGTTGCGTTGCTGTCTATGCAGGGTCAGAAACCTCTCGGATTTCATCAAAAATATCTTAATTTTTGTTCTGAAGATGAAGGTCTTACGGGTTTGGAACGACATGAGAGTGAGTAATTAATGACAGAATTTGAACCATCCCTTTAAGATGTGGCATTATTTTCATATTCCATTAATGAGAGTTAAGGGATGGAGTGCATATGATAAAAAACGTATTATTTATCCTATTTAACTGTCCATTTCCAAATGCAATTATTCTTTTATTCTGAGGTGATTTAAAACCCAGATAATTCTTCATCATGATGTGAAAAGATGACAAGAGCATTTAGTTGAATGGGTGAATTTAATTAAATTACTGCAGCTATGACTACAGGAGTCTATAAGAGCAGTAGTACTATTACAGCACTGCAAGCAAAACAGCTAAATTTGGTACATATACAATGACTTTACTCCTGGATTAAGATTTTCCAAAGCATATTAATGTGCCAGCTGATGTAAACTATGACAAGTGTCACATGAAATTTGTCAAAACTGCTGGTTTCTTAAGAAGCAGCCATCATATTCGCCTATGTGTTATAAATTAACACTGAGCCGCAGCAATAATGAGAGAAACTGGGATAAAATCATTGACAGCAGGGGGCAGCCAAGCCTCCACAGCAACAACTGATTATTAATTGTGGCAAAAGACAAAAACACAGTTCTCATGACAATGACGCAGTGTTTTGGTGAGAATTTGAGTCTGCAGGTTTTCTGATGAAGAGATTAGTTTAGCAAGCACAAATTACACAACTTGATGTATCAAATAGGGTTGAGATACAAGCTGATGTTTACATTTTAGGGTTTGAGGTTTGTGCTATGAGAAACAATATTAGTGGTAGACTACTTATGAAAAGACAAAAGAAATCTTGATTATGGTTTTGTTTTCAGTATAGTTTTCGACACACCTAGTCAATTACACTAAAAAAAAAAAAATCTTGCTTTAAACCTCAAGTTAAAATTTAACACTATGATGAGGAAGTCTATCTCCCCAGATGAAAGGCACTGTAATTTCCAAGAAGTCTATTCGTGAAGCGTGCAAAGACAACTACGACTTCCTGTTCATTCTTTATATGCAACAGAGTGTGTCATAAACGTCTGCCGTGCTTTTGCTTGACTTTTATTAGATTTACAGTTGCAGTGGGGGGGGGGTTTTCACCAGGTGGCTGCCTGGTTCACCTTTAGTTTGATGTTTGTAAATTTAAATGTGGTTTGTACCGTTTTCTCAGAGCCTCAAACCTGACATAGCAGCCAATAACTGGTTTCTGCAACGTGATCTTCCCCTAAAAACCACATCTCAGAAACATCACAGCTCAATCAGGTTCAGTCTAGACTAAGATAAGATGGCTAAAGCTGAAATGTCTCAGCAGACGGGCGACTGAAAACCACTCATCAAAGTCAGTGATCTATTCAACACACGCACACAAAAATTGTATAATAAAAATAATAGATAAACCACAATGCACGTCTGTGACAGCAGAACAATGAGACCAAGAACAAAATATTAAGGTGGCTGCATGAATTATTGATTGTATTTTAATTTGGTTTAATATGGCAGAACAAATATACACCATAATGCTTGCTGGGGCGATATCTGCCATGATCTACATGCAAAAACAAGCATGCATGCAGGCAGTAATGCTATGGTTGAACAGTTTGGTTGTGGAATTTGCAAGATTTTTTAATATTTACATTTACATTTAGCAGACGCTTTTATCCAAAGCGACTTACAATTGGGGGATACATAAAGCGATTCTTCTTAAAAGAGGCAAACAGATACAGGAAGTGCTTGAAATACCAAGTTTCTAGACATTGTTCAAATAAGTACACGCTAGAAAGAGAAGGAATAGATAAAGAGATAGAATTTTTTTTTTTTTATGTAGAAATGACAAGGGCCTGGACAAGACGTTGTGCAGCATCCTCCGTTAGAAAGGGCCTGATCTTTCTGATGTTTAAGTCTCTTATATTAACCAAGGCTGCGTTTATTTGATCAAAATACAGTAAAAACAGTAATAGTGATACCTGTGATCAAAGCTGAATTTTTCTTCAGTGTCACATGATCCTTCAGAAATCATTCTAATATACTGATTTGATGCTCAAGAAACATTTTTCATCAATGTTAAAAACAGTTGTGCTACTTTATTTTTTTGTGGAAACCTCAATATGTTTTTTTTTCCAGATTCTTTGATGAATAGAAAGTTCTAAAGAACAGCTTTCATGTGAAATGTATTAAAATGTATCTTGTGTAACAAGTTTTCATGCAAAACAGTAACGCCAACCTTCAATTTAGTTTAATTTGAACTGTTCACATGGAACTTTGCTCATATTTAAATCAAGATAATCGTATGTTGACAAGTAGCCAAAATAAATGCACAATGGTTCGTGAGAACGTACAGACCTCAGAATAAACAGCTATGTGTTATGTTATTCTCAAGAACTGAAACGGTAAGTGGTTTAGTTAACAATGACAACCTAAATACCATATCTATAAATGATGTCTTAAAGTCTACTTCTCTGTTAGCATCCGTAACTATGTCAGCTCTTGAACAGGAAACTTGCTTGGGTCAAATATGAGCATAGTTCAATACCTAAACTGAAAACAAAAAACCACAGAGAGTGAGAGGGGAATTAATTCTGACTTGATCAAAGGTCTGTTTTCTTTAACAGAACTCTGTGGATCCAATAAACTCATTTCACCCACAAGCTGGGGAAAGAAGGGGGTGAGGTGGTGTTACGCAACTATTTCAGATCTGAAAAGCTCCTGCCAATGCTTGCAGAAGCACACTCCGCTATCCGGGCCTTCGCAGAGCGTTTGGAAAAGTGCCGACTGCAAGGATAGTGAGGTCATACAGGAAGCTCAACGACAAAGCAAGCTTATTAGCTTCTAAGTCACATTAAAATCAACACATTCTTGCTCTAACCGCAGTTCTTATTCTGCCGAGAACATGTGAACGCCTTCCCCGCTCGCTGTCATGGCCCTGAGATGAAAACACTGGGCTCCGTGGGGAGGCTAATCCTAAAGCCGAGCCGCAGCATACCAGCTGTCTTCTCCAAACAGCCCTCTGAGCGAGAAGAACATCAGCACTGCTTTACCTCCTCCGCCACTCACACGACAACTTCTGCGTAATTGTGGCTTCACAGAAATCTCCACAGAATTCACACCTCCTGACCCTGTGTCAAATGCTTTTGTTCATTTGATAACGATTAACATGCTTCGTAACTTTTCACCAAAATCAGTTCAGGAAATGACAATCTGCTTAAAAACATCTGATACATAATAAAAAAAAGACATACTGTCTTCTAAAATGTTCAATGTTCTGGTCGCAAAAGGGGGGAAGGAAGAGGAATTTCCAAGAAAATCTTGGCTTATCTGTGGCCTCTTAAGCGTTTCACTGAACTAAAGTCCTGTAATTCCTCGTATCAGCTGCTCTCTTGTTTGTGAGGGCTGTAAAGAACGTGGATGTGACAGTCAGCACACGGCTGTGAATTTATGCAACCCCAGGGTACATTCTCTCAGTGCAGACCAGAGAAATTTAAGTAGTGCTTCAGTTCATTCATAACAACCCAAAACTTTAAAACCTCCTTGAGCCAGTTTAATGTAGAAGTACTTTGTCTTCTAACAAAGCACATGTTCCCCAGACTCTAAAAAATGTAAATGTGACCAAGCAGAGGTGCAGACTGCAAGTTTGGAAGTTTGCTTGATTACCTACTGTGTCTGTACCTCTTGATTCCTTATGCATGATTATGTAACATGAGATTTGTCTAAAAGTCACATGAGGAATCAAAACTTCCTTTGTCTTTTAAGATAAGTAAATTTTACTTTAAATTATTTGGTCATGCTTTACTGTAAGGTCCAACTTTGCACTATTAACTAACAACTAACTACAACTTTTGCCACGATAAACTCCTAATTTGTAGCTCATTAATTGTTAGTAAGGTAGTTGAGTTTAGTTATGGGGTCGGGTTAAGGGATCTAAAATATAGTCATGCAGAATAAACGCCCGTTCACACCAAGGACGATAACTATAAAGATAACGATAAAGCTATAGTTCGAAAAAACGTTCTCAATATTAAAGAATAGAGTCCACACCACACCTAAAACGATAAAGACAAAGAGAAACGATATCTCTGGAATCACTTTCAAAATAATTTTTCTCCAGCTGATGAACGATAAAAAAAAAAATTGACTGCCAATCAGAATCCATCCTGCTGTAACGAGCTCGAGAGTTTAAAGCGGCAGACGAGCGTGCGCTTAGAATAAACAGACGATATCGTTCGCTGGTGTGGACGCTAATATCGTTATCTTTATAGTTATCGTTCTTGGTGTGAACAGGGCTTAAGACATTAGTACGTGCTTTATAAGTATTAATAAACAGCCAATATGCTAGTAATATGTATGCTAATAAGCTACTAGTTAATAGTGAGAATTGGTCCCTAAACGAAATATTACCAATTATTTTGAAACTTTGTTCAATACTTTTAGATCACTTCCCCACAGTAAATAAAAAGACCATTTATTGCAACAAAGTAGCCAAAATGACTGGTTCCAAACTTCTACCAACATAATAATACAAACGAGTATGACAAACGGTCAAAAAACTAAATTATCACTATGTTATAACAACACTAATTCTCATCAATATTGAATCCAAT